TGGATCAGAATGCCCGTGACAGATTGTATAGACTTCTCGAATACTGTGTAGCTTGGGACAGCAGCTAGGATGCCTATTGGACATCACATCCCATGAGACTAGAGCGGTCCCTATTCTGCGTGTGGACCTCAGACTGACTCCTTCCTTTCCCCAAAAAACACATGACAATTCACACTTGGGTACCACAAAGCTGAGATGCAAAATTCGCAGGTAGTGGACTGCCATCGGCTGCAGCTCTCAGCAGATGAGCCCGAGGTGGTCGTAAAAAAGCTGGAGAACGAGGCTCTTTCTCCCCGGCATCGAAACAGTCTTCCATGTTGAAGTGTTGCTTGCTGCTGGAGACACGAAGACAGAAGCCCAGGACTGATCACAACAGCCCTCCTGTCAGGTGAGAATCCTTCGCAACGCCGAGCATGCCCCTTGGTCTGCACACTCCAGTGCTGCTATCAGCTTGCATGAGGCAACTCAGCTTCGTGCACACAAGGCAGCGCAGAAATTCAACCTTCACAGATACGTATATGTAAAATATGTATCAACCTCTGAAGTCTGCAGCAGCCCTGCTCCTCAGATGTTTTTAGTGGGCAGTTTTGACTTCCTATAGGTTGCAAGCGCAACTTGCGACGGTGCCCTGCATTCGTGGTTCATACCTGCTTAACGCTTTAAGTGCTGCGTGGGATGACGATGGAAAAGACAGTTACCTGTTGCCAGTGACTTATCTTCATCCTGCCGCAGCTGCATCCTAGGAACACTGTGTGGGCTTGTATGCTACTCGGCTGCATTCTGCTGAGTTGGTTAAAACTTTATAGAGTTCATAATGAAGCTGGCACGAAGAATACAGGCACCGTTGAGGAGTAGGAGCATATCAAGCACACCTCAGCTGCATCAGCAGACAAACAGGGTGTTAATATGCGGACTGACCCCGAAAGCCGAAGCCAGCTGCTTGTCTCGAGCCTGAAGCCCTAAGCCTTCTATAGGGCAGCTAGTCATGGCCAGCTACTGCACAGAAAGGTCTACTACTTATAGAGCACAATGACAGAAGACGAAGGTGCAAGGGAGTGATCGTATCGCCTGAAAGCAGAAACAGCCAAAGCGCAAATGCTCTTCGCTGCTCACATCTACACACCTGCTCAAATCCACTAGCCCCAGGACATCTACAGAACGCCCCGGTGGATCGTCCTCATCATGGAACGTCTGGAAGGCGGTGAGCTGTTCGAGCAGATCGCAGCATGGCTTTCAGGGATGCTGCCAAGTTTGAGGCTTGCAAATCCTGTCCGCCTCTGTCACTGAGCTTGAAGGAAAACATGATATCGTTGGAGTCCGCCTTAAGATTTGTTTAAGCTAAAGCTGGCTCAACAGTAGTGCCACGAGTGGACACTGGTCGCAGCCAGAGTAGCAGCTCCGCTGTCATCTACAAGTATGATACTTGCCATTATGGCCGAAGTACCTCTGTGCAACATCGTTACGACCTTTCCTGGTTCCCCAAGTGTTGGCATCTAGTAGGCGTATGGTGTCAGCTCCTAACCGCAGATGTCTGTATATGCTGCCTACGCCACAAAAGCAGAGCATGCCGTTGTCATGTAGACTGTGTGCGGACTACAGCCAAGGCCAAGAAGCGGACGCTCAAGGAATTCGAAGCCAAGCATGAACCCTGCATGCAGCGAGAGAGGTTTTGCTTGCAAAGGTCCCTTCACTCTTGGGCTGGTGTCTTCTTCCTAACTTTCGGAGAATTTCTTAAGGCAGTTAGAGTGCTGTGTGCGTTTCAGACAGGCGGCTTAGCAGCGAGGGTTGAAGATCATCATGAGCGGTGAAGCCTGAAGCGCGGCATGCAGAATGAGGTCTTCCAGCAGATCGTGTCCGGCTTGGCCTTCCTGCAACCCAGCTGCCTTCACAAGACTTCTTTGGGCAGAGACGGTGCTAGAAATCCAGGGCTTCAGGCACTGGAATTCTGAAAGCCAAGGCATGGGAAAAAGATCGCACATCGCGATTTGAAGCCTGCTCCTTGGTTGGCAAGCAATGTTTCGCCTTGGTATCCAGCAATCTTATAAACTATCAGCGGTCTTCTGCATCTTAGTACTTAGCCGGACCTGCAAACCGTGCTGGGACAAAACGTTCACAAACCTCCGTGCGAACAAAACTCAGGAGAACGTCCTCATCGCTCGGATACGGCCAGCTGACCCTCCCAATGAGGCTGCTAGTGGCACTTCAGATCTTCAGTCACAGTTCCGGGGAGGGGGGGGGGACGACGCGGACTGAGATTCCTGACATCATGACATGGCATTCAGATCGTCGGGCTCAGCTTTAGAGGAGGTCATGTGTAAGTTAGGCCTACAGGAGCTTATTTTGCTTGCTTTCAAGAGGGTGGTCTTGCCGCTTTGAGTCAGAATTAGCAGGGAGGGATGCAGCTACCACACTTGAAGGAATCCACATACACTTGCCTGCAACACGTTGCGTATGCGTCTGAATGTACAGCAAAATCATCATACAAGAAAACAGAACTGTCTGGCCTGAAGATGTAGGATCCGTAGAGAAATCCAATGGCCACTCCCTGGCTAACGTGAAAAGACATGAAAAGCGGGCGGTGTGGATACTCGGATTCACTGTCTCACTCGTAGGAGGCTCTCATTTGCAAAGGTGAGGTGAGACAGACACGCAGTCCAGCGCATAGCCCGCAGGACTGCAGCTTGTTTGACATCAAGATTGCAGACTATGGGCTCAGCAAGTACAACGACGAGGTCTGAAAGGATGGTTGGACAGTTGGCAAGATTCATGTACAATCTGTGGGCTTTGGGAACTCAATCATTAAGAAGCAGTGCAACGGAAATAGATGCGCGGGTTTAGTGCATCAACGAAGATGATGGAGAAACTCTTGGCATGTAGCCTGAGTGTACGCTGGCCGTTCTAGGGCAAAGGTGTTTTTTCGAGTCTTTCTCTAGCATCTGAAAGTCAGCACCTCAGGGAGAGCCTCTGCGGAGCATGGTTGGAACTCCGCAGCGCCCTGGCTGAGGAGGGTTTGAGATATAGAGAGGGCGCAGGAAAAAGCGCCATTGCGCTGTTGCATGAGAGCTTGCTCGTTTCCTTTGGCAACACCCTCTACAGCTAGTGCTGCTGTTTCTGCATGGTGCTGGTAACAGTGGATGCTTAATCCGAATCTTGGCCAAAAGCAAAGGGTTATAATCTGGCCGAGGTATTGGGCGCCTGAGCTGCTGAAAGGCAAGGGAAGGCGCGGGGAACTCCCATTGCACGCCCCAATCTAGATATTTCTCTCAGGGTGATTGTTAAAGATAATTGAGAAGATGTCCAGGAAAGACGCGTTACGGAGGCCATGAGTCTAGCTTGAGGCATCCCTGAATGAGTCGGCGTTACTCCTTTTTATGCTTTTTCACCCGATCTACTGGTTTCTGGGCACGCAGTTCATCATTAGCCAGAGGTCTGCCGTAGTTCAGGTTCTGAAATTAACATCTTCTGGGATGTTGGGCAATCACAGGCCTAGATTTGTAAAGTTTCGTACCAAGGCAGTCACAGGCAATCAGGTGATTGGAGGACCAGGATGATTGGTTGGCAAGCTCAGCTTCTGCCGTGAGGGAAGGCTATGACGAGCGCGTGGATCTCTGGAGCTTGGGTGTCCTGTCCGGGGCCCAGAAGCAGGCGTTTTGCCTAGGGCTTTTGATTTTCAGACTGTTTCAAACCATTTGATTCGCAGGAAGCACTTTCAAGGGAGCAGGAAGTTTGTACTGACTTGCTGTGCTACAGAATGTTTGGCTGCCTGTTGGTCACATTGTTTAGCTATTCAGTGTTCTCAGGATGGATAGAACTTTTGCCAGCTCAAATTCCGTGCACAGTCGGGAAGTACCTCCACCCGCAACGCCTAAGCGGAGCCAAACATTACGGGTTTTGCGGCGCATTCCTTTCCCTTCTGAGTTGCATTGTTGTTTTGTCAAAGCGATGAACTCCTGCCAATAATTAGGAGCATGCTGCTGTGAGTGAGGCTCTACGTGATGCTCTATGGCAGATACCCTTTCCGAGGCTGCAGCTGGCAGATAGCTTTGGAGAGTAGCAACCGCAACTGTGTTCTAGGCGATCATGCTAGTAGTTGAGCAAAAATGACGTTCGCCTCTGGCAACTTTGCCGCTTTGCTGCCGCCGGCATCCCTTTGCTAGGTGACAATGCGAATGAGCAGATCAAGAAGGGAACGCTGCTCTGCGGCAGGAAACGCATGGGCAATGTTCCGGGTAGTGGTGGCTACACTTCAGCAACCCTATCGCCAAGACATGGAAAGCCTGAGAAGTCCTCACACAGGTGTGCTCAATGAGACTGGCCTGCTTGAAAGGTTCGACCTCTCGCGCGCAAAGTCACCAATCTCGGACGAGGCCCAGGACCTCATCAGGCCGGGGAAAGAGCGCACCTGAGGGCTTCTGATCGGATGCGTGGGTGGCTGCTTGGGAAGCACATGAAGCGCTCAGGAAGCTGCTCCAAGTCAATCCAGGAGACCGCCTTCCCCTCTCAGGCCCAGTGAGAGCTGAGCTTAATTTACATGGCATGAAGATTCGGTCAAGGGCATGAGAATATTGGCAGCTGCGCCGGGGAAACAGGTTGAGGATTGCTGCTCCACCTGCTCCACTCTTGCCCTTCCTGAGCATTGGAAGTGCGTGCTACTTTGCTTCCAGAACAGGTGCAAGGCTTACACAGCCCAGGCCTCCAACAGCTCACACCATCCTTTAGTCAGCATGCTTGCGCATCCTCGGAGCTGTAAGTTCAACATGTCAGGGCCCTACATCCCCCCTGTGTGCACTTGTATTGCAATCCTTGATGGACCCCAGTCTCCGGCAGCTTCATTTGCGTAAGCCAAAGGATTTTGGATGAAGGAACGGGCAAGCACAAAAGCAACTAAGCGAGTTCCCCTGGGTCCAAAATTTCGGACCCAATTTGAGAATGTTCTCAAACGCTGGCTACTCACCTTGCTGTCCCAGAGCAATGCAACTATCCTAGCCTCCTCGAACCAGGCTGCCTGGAGCATCCTTGGCTTGTGGGTGAGAAGAAGAAGGCCCAACAGCTTTGGGAAGGGGCATTGCATAAGGTTTGTAGCAGTATCAGGAGGCGAGGGTCCTTGATTCAAGGCTCTGCTCTATTGGTCAAACATTTCATTGGTGAAGCTTGCAATATTGGGGTCGTTCTGAACAATTTTCGCAGCCACCTGAATGAATTGGCTCTCCCTGAACCCTTGCCACTTTGCTTGGCCTCTTCAACGAGTTGATTCGTCAGCAAAAGGATTTGGAAAGCCATCCTTGACAACTTGACTGGGCTGTTACCAGGCGAAAGTAGTTGTGTTGCCTTAGAACTTTGGCAGCCGTTCTACAGATGACCATGGGCCGCCTTTCGCCCGAAAGCCATGCCAATCGTATGCTTGGATCCCTGAAGGGATGTCAATCCTAAACCTGCTTACGCCTTGGTTCTAGAGGCAGAAGACGTGGAGATGTAACAGTGGGTTCCATGATGATGGCGGAGCGGATCTGGCTTTCCATGTAGGGCTTGTGGTCGGAACCTATGGGTTTTGGATTCAAGGTCATTGAGAACCTAATTTCAAAAGACTAAGTGACGGTGAAAAGAGTAGAGACAACAGAAAAAGTTTGTTTATCGTTTTTTTTTAATCGTATCCTTGACAGACGTCAGAGATGCAGAACTTCCGTTCATCCCCTTGGGACCCCCTCTGCTCCTTCCCATCTAGTTTTTCTCTTTGAAGCTGGGTTCCGAAGAGAAGAAGAACAACATGTACATATCCAGAAAACAGCAGTCCTCCCTTTCTGTCCGTGCATTTTTCAACAAAATTCAAGAGACTAAGCGAGGAAGAAAGGAATTCAGAGAGCAGGAGAGGTTTATTTTTGATGTCCTTGACGCGCAACAATGGAGGGACTGATGCAGAACTTCTGCTATTCTCTATGGACCTTCCTCTCCTCCCTCCTAGGAAGAAAGATGAACAGCAATAATACAGCAGACAGAAGGACACCCCCACAGTCGTAATGCTTATCTGCTTCATGCTTCCCCGCATCGGAGACAGCTTTTTCTCAGCAAGCTGCGGAAAGATAGGCTTCCTCTCTCCCCTATCCGAATGTTTTCTCGCAGTTCACTGAGGAGAATGAAGAAATAGGCAGATCAAATAAAGAAGAGATAAGCGACCTCCCTAGAGAAATGGAAGCTAGACAACAACAACAACAACAACAACAACAACAACATGCATGCAGTCAAAAAACCGAGAATGGAAAGTTCTCCTATCCCGGACCTCCTCTTGAAAATACATGTTCAGATAAACCCTGCAAAAAGTTGGAAATTGTCACGCCATGCATAGGTTCTTGCAGCTATCCAGGCAAGCTTTCCGATGTCCTTCAGTGAGCACAACATTCATCGACATTGACGGACCCCCTAAATGGTACCCCTCATTTCCGGAAACCCTAGTGCCCATACACATCTGTTTAATCCAAGATTCCATATCATTTCCTGTTTTGTCTGGGTGATCAGTGTAATACCTGATTTTCAGAACCTCCAAATGCCCTTCTCCTGCCGAACCAGGCACCACCAGCTCCACAGCCTGTGGCAGTGCGGGCAGTGACACCCCGGCCTGGGCTTCAGGATTGTGGAGCTTTTCCAGAATTAGGGATACCAGGGATACCCGTCTGGGGGTCCCCACAATAAGGATGATAGAATTTTGGAGTGTATATTGAGGCTCTCGTATTTTAGGAAACTTCCATTTGTGGCGAGGTTACTCCTATATTTGCATAGCGGGGCATGATTGTATGGCTGTTCTGCACTAATCTTGGGTTGGCAAATTCTACATGTACTTGCCCCGGGCAATGGAATGTGGAATTGGACAAAGCAGATGCAAAGTGAGTTTCTGTCAACGCTGCAAGTTGCGAAGCCCAAATGACTTAGGCCAAGCATCTAGATGTATGCAGGGACATGTTACCTTCGCCAAGATGGGATACCCTCCAAATCTGCCAGCAGGCATGCGCGTGCCCTTAGTGTAGTTCCGTCCAAGCTTGGTTGCAATAAGTCACTGGCCCGATGCACCTTCCAGGTGGCACCGGCGAATAAAGCACAATAAACAGTCAAGTGCTTTAAGGTAGGTGCTGTCCTGGTCTGAGTCCAATCCAAACTGTTCGGTGAACAGTAGTCAGTAGTTCTAAAGTGCCTGTCCACTCGACTGTTTGCGAACCGCAAGCAATGACTTTGGCCGAAATGCTCGCCAAGGCCATCAACCAAAATTCACAAACATGCAGAAAACACCCCAGGGCGCCTTTCGACCTTCGTGAACTACTTCGGCTGCAGCCACCTGGATCGCGACACTTCTTTCAGCCAAACGAGGTCATAAAACTTGATTGGAGAGCATTCTGAGTACCGAGCTACGGTGTATCATATAAAGGACTAGACAATTTTGCCCTACTAGACGTATCGAGGCATTCTAGCTTGCCAAGCCCTGCGGGCAAAGCAAGCTTCATCTACAGACTCTGACTCCAATGGCCATCATCAAACGAAGAAGCTGCTGATCCCAGGGTTTCCTTGGGGCGATCCTTGGAAGTTGCTTGCCTGGCCTGCCGCAGTGCCTCAGCTGCATGGATTCGAGGCCGATTTTCTTTCCGGGGTCCTAGGAGGCGTGCAAGTTGGATGTTCTTTTAACTGCACGGTCCGATGCTGACAACTTGAATGGACACTCCAAATTGAGGTTGGTTCATTTTTCAAATTTAAACCTGTCTGTGCACGGCGGATTTGGGAAATGCACCAGAACAGCCACCTGTACAATGGAACAAAAGTGCTTAGCTCCTGGGTCAGCAGAAACTTGGAAGCCCTCCATGCATTCCCTACTACATAGTCTTCAAAAACCTACCTTCTCACAATCCTCCAACCAGATTGTACAATCAGAAGCGGGAGCCTCGAGATCTCCACATATTTCTGGCCTACTATCCCACTTTGTTTTTGTATGGACTTTGCAGGTAACAGTGCTGACATTTTTGGTTGACGAGGTCAGCATCCTGAGCTTGCTGCCAGCATTCGGGAGACCATCATGCAGGTGGGTACTTGAACTTAGCTTACCTGTTCAGTGGTGGTTCTGGGGGTGGGATAAGCCTCTCAGGGCCAGATGTATCTTAGGAGATCATCAAAATACTGCGGGTGTCAAGAAAGATATACACGTTTCAAGTGTCGTTAGGTCAGGAGCTTTCTTCTGTAGCGCAACTATAGATAATCTAAATAATTCAACCGCTAACGCGAGACCGCCTGGGCAAAGGCCGTCCCCCGCCACCCCCTCCCCCCCGCGTGCCACACACCTGCCCCCTAAACCCTAATACGCATCTGGCGCGTGACGTTACACTTGAAAACGCGGCATTGTCAACCACGGGGGAAGCTGCATTTCGGCGCCCTGCCAGCCTGTGCGGAACCCAGACAACCGCCCGCACCCCCTCTACCCCCTCCAAAAAAAAAATCATGGCAGGGGGTAAGGGATGGGCCAACTTAGCCTTTGAGTCTCCGGCCATGGATCTGGACGCCCCAGGCCTCCGGCCTCGACGGATTGTGAAGCATTCATCAGTATGTGGTGTTGAGAAGACCCCACAACCATCTTTTTCACACGGCTGATAGCGAGCCTGCATACTGGAAAGGTTCTCATTTGGCTGCTGAAAGGCACTTCAAGTTTCATGCCTGCAAACGGTTCTCAATCCCAAGGCAGAAGCTCCTGCTGGCAGTCCCGGGCCCCAAATCCCTACAGCATGCAAAGATCCTGGACGCCAGCTCAAACCCTCTCCAGCCACACCGTTCACCCAGTCGAAAATGGCGGCAGGCGCAACTGCTTTGGCAACAGGCAGTGAAGGTCATTGGCCAGTACGCGCAGGTCCGTCAATTGGGTGGTTGTGTGTTGGGGAACAACGGCATTTCATACCAGGTTACTCTTGCCATTCTGGGGCTTTCGGCAAGTCCTTTCGCACTGAAGAGCCTTCAGAATTTGGAGGTAACCTGTCCTAAGTTCCAAAGCCAGCAGTCGTAAATGATTTGGCGGCGGGAATTCGATTGAATTTCAACAAGCTGAGTAGAAAGCAAGAAACACTTACCCAATGTGACCTGGTTGACAACCGCCAGAGGTAAGTGCTGGTACGGCCACTGCTGCGCACTGCTGCTCTTCTTGTTGTCTGTGAGCATGGCCACGATGCAATAAGGGCAAAGAAGGCCGGTGTGATTCTTCATAGCCGCAGCAGCTGTTGCTGACGCAGCCACGATAACTTGCCACCTGAAAGAATCCTCATTTGTAATGTTGGCGTCCAGTCCAACTAACAAGGAGAATGGAGATATAAGGATACCCTCATCACCGATGGGAAATCTAAATAGAGGCCGTTTGAATCAGCAATTCATAGTTTGCAAGGTTTCGCGGAAAGTCATTGAAACCGTGCTGCCGGATCTGAACCTCGCTGTGCAGGCAACGACTGGGTAGGGTTCTCTGCTAACACTACGGTTTCCATCCAGGATTTGCTGCCAGGTGCGGGTTCATCCTTCTTTCTATTGTAGCTGACGCGGTATTTGGCTTCTAGCAGGCACCTCCAAGTCGCAACCCAGATGTGTGAGATTCGGCACATGTCCACAAGGCTTCTGACGATGCCAGGTATTTCGTTAGCAGAATCCAGACATGTTGGCTGGCCGAGCTTTTGAAATCCGAAATCGCGGGCTGCCAGGAATCCACACCGGAACTCGGCTACGACCTCCTCAGCATGGTAGAGAGTCCTGAGCTTGGAGATCAGCAAGAGCGCAGGGGAAACATTAATCGTGTTCATTGGCATCCAGTCCAAAAAGCCCATCCAGCTTTCCTCCATGATCCCAAAGAGTTGGGCTGCACAGTGGGTAGAAGGCGAGACTTGCATTGTTCTTCCAAGGTTGGATCCAGAAGCTGCTCGGCTGCACCGCAAGAGGGTTTGTGCGGCAATGAGGTGTTGGAAAGTCGTGCTCTTACTGAGGGGTTCTGGGGTCTCAGAAATGTAAAGATGAGCTGCCCCTATCATGGTCAACCGCCTTGAAGTCACTAGTCTGTGGAGACGTCATCATCGACAGCATCACAGCACGTTTGACTTCAGCTCCGATGGATTGCAAGTAACAATACTGTAATGTTCCATATTATTCTTATTATGATCGTATAATATATTTTTTTAAACTGTTAGATGGAGACTTCAGCGTTGCTGGGCTTGAGGATGACTGCCGACAGCGAGAAGATGCATTGGCTGTGCTCCGAGCTCTCGAAGCACTTGGAGAAGATGATCACGCAGGTGCGGGTTCCATACTTTACAGAATTTGGGGTCCGTGGCTCGTTTGAGGAGGCTTAGGATCATAGTCCCAGTTCTCAGAAAAGGTTCAGGTCCCACTTTCAGCTCCAGCTTGCAGATTTTTCTGGGGGTAGCTTTGGGCGTTGGACCCCTCCAACACATGCCATCACCTTGACAAGAGCCGCCTCCAGCTTGCTGCGCGAGTCCTGACAGCATCGCTGGGTGTTTTTCTGCTCGTCTTTCACAAGAAGTCGAGACGGCCACTGCCGCATGAGCGTTAAGAACGCTGGAAACACCTTAAGGCAACCACAAGAAAACTCGTTGCTCGCATGATGGCTGTCATTCTTGAACCCGCGCTTAGAGGTATTCTATCACCGTCATTCTTCACAGCAATGTTCATTGCTGTCTGTTAGCTGGTTTGTAAGACTGCAAGACCTGATTATTCAGATTTCCAAAGGAGGGGGTATAACTCGTAGTCGTAGTAGCAGATCATCACGTAAATTCTGTTTCTTACGACTGACTATGACTGACTCAAGCACCTACGCAGGCGCAGGCTCAACAGCTTCAGCTGAAGAACGCTGCGCCCGAAGCAAGAGCCGCTTACTCAGACGGCTTAGAGACGCTGTGGGAGTCGGTATGCGGAGCTGCCCGTCAAACATAAGAGTCAAACGTCACGCATGCTTTGAACAGATGTGCATCAGAAATCAAAAACGTACTGGGGCAAGATGTGCAAGTGTCGAGCAGCCGCCGCCAGCTTGCCTGGTGCTGTGTGCTGATCTCTAGTTTCGCAGCTTTCCTCACTTGGCCCAACTTGCATCCACACAATGCCCGTGTTGCTCTGATGTTCCTCTAGTTCGCGCAATCAGTCAGAAGGCCTCAAGATTTCAAGTGCTGCGAGCATGTGTACGTGTGATGCAGGAAACAGCGTAGATGGCAGTGTTTGTAGCGTCAACCTCCACTACATCCCTGGCGTGTGGATGGAATTTGTTTTCTGAACTCAGCTGAATACAGTGATCGCTCAGATGCACCAATTGGGGCGTCTCGCTCCGCATCTTTTCACCATGGTGATTCCGTCCTTGTATGACATACGAAGCGGAGATATGGTTTACCATGTTTAGTCTTTGTGTCCTTGCCACGCAGCTCCTCACCCTTTGGCAAGTTTTGCGTGGACGTGATACCGGCCATCCTGTAAGCACCCTGCCTGCTTACTTTCAAAACAAAGGCTGTTGCGTGCTGAAACCGAACCATGGCATGGCATGCTCGGCTTCCTTTGCTAGTGGTGAATGGGCGTATCATACTGGCGTCCAAGACCTAGAGTTCGCGTGGAAAGTAATTACAATGCATGGAGCCGGGATATGCTGATGCGTCTGCTTCTTGAGTCCGTTCCAAGAGTTCGTCCACAACAGATGTCTCTTCGCAGCAGCATTTTGCAACATGCCGAGGTGTCTATCGTTCACTGTCAAGAGAGTATGAGTTACTGACTAGCTTGATCATCCTCAGCCCAGTGGTCCATTTTCGTTGCATTGAGAGAGGCGTTAGTTAGGGCTTCGTTGTCAACAAGTTGTACTGCTTAGCTACTTCTTCAAGGGGCAGAGATTGGCTTGTAGACTGAAAGTCCCGAGGGCGTCAGACTTTCAAGCGTTACCTGCTACGGGCTTCAGACAAACATTGTTGAAGCCTCACCCTGAACCTTTCAAAGTCCACATGCAAACGAGGCCGCGCCCCCGGCCCCAAATGCCATCTGCGATGCAGCTGGGCAAGCGCCGCCAAGCCGAAGGTCTGGACCTCAGACTTGCTGAGAACAAGACCTGACCAAGACCTTGGCATCTGGTAACTCATCTGCAACGTGCAACCTTGAGAGCCTGAGCCATGGTAGCAGTCTATGGGGATTTTGGTTGACATGAGTTCCAGATTCTGCACAGCTGTGTAATCGCATCCAGCCGAGAGGCAAGCCTGCACGAATGCCAGTTCACTTGTATGTCATTGATGCATTCCGCAGGCTTCATGTACAGAGCTGGAGCCCATTGCCCAAACCCCCCGTGCTGATTCCCCCCGCCAGAGGCAAGACTTGTTTGATGAGTTGGAAGTCTTTGCAAACAAGATCTCGAGGGGGAACTATTCCGACGTCAAGGGCTCAGACTCTGGTGAGGGGGCTTGCACTTCCAGGCTTTATTCTGAAGGGCTTGTAAGCAAGCAAGGCTTCCAAGGCGGGATTGGACCTGCGAATGCTATGGCATCTTCCAAAGCTCGACAACCTCAACTAGATCCCAACAATAGAGCTCGTGACGCGGTCACAGTTCCATTTCATGGGGTATTTGCTTTGGCCAAAAAGTCTTGGGAGGGTTTCTTTCAGCTTGGAGATCTGCAGTGGTGGGATCCGCTGGATGCAGCTTGAGGCACCTGCATGTTTCTGAGTTTGCAAGACAGAAGCTACAACGGACTACATTGTACCAAGCATGTGGCTGTCAAGCCGCCACTTCTGCATGTTGAAGGCCCTTCATTCATAGGCTCCCTGTCCTTGAAACCCGAGCCTTGCTCCACACTGCCTTCCCTGATCACACAGGAAAACGAAGGGGGACAAAGCCGCGATCTCGTGGATTCATGGCTCGGGGTTAAGCTGCTGCTTGTACAACAGGATTAATGCAGGTCCTTGTTTGCCTTGGTCAACCACAAGTATGCCATATGCTTGCAGCCTTCTAGAGATCTAGAGATTTGTTGCTGGGGCCAAAATGCGTCTAGCCTACATATAATCCCAGCTCCCATCACATTGTTCACAATTTCATGGGATCCTCCTTTATTCCATGTTTCAATAGATCACTAACTTTCCAAAAGACAAGATGAAGCTTGTGGATCTTGGAGTTGTGGGAAGCTTTCCAGTCAGGAGTAGAAAACTTGTAAACTTGGATGTGCAGTAAGAGGATCCAGGGCACGCAACTGTTTCTAGTAGATGTCAGCGGTTTGGATACCTTGCACGCAGACCTCAAAGGGAGCATGTCCAGTAGAGAGTGGCTGAAGTTGGAGAGCTTACCAGTTCTTAGCGGGGACTAAAGGAATATCATCGCTACACAGTCCCTATATCACATTTTTTGACTCCTATAGAACCCCCGTATATATAATATACATATTGTATTCCCACATTTTATATGAAGACTCAGTAAGAGAAGTAGCCGAGGATCTGCTGTTCCTCTCACCTGGATTTGGCCCGGGAGCACTCAAGGCTTGGGCCGGGCTAGTAGTAGTAGTAGTAGTAGTAGTAATAGTAATAGTAATAGTAATAGTAGTAGTAGAAATATAGTAGTAATAGTAGGAATAGCAGTCATGGTGATGATAGTAGTACTAGTAGTAATAATGATAGTGCAGGCCAGGTTGCGAGGATTCCAGAGAGGAAGTCAAAGCTCCATTGATGCTGTACCACGAATCTGGCAAAAACAGCACGCAGCGCATGCAACATCAGCCATCAGCTACCTCATGCTGATTCTGATTGAAAGTTATACTAGTAGCTTTGCGGTTGTTTTTGGCAGCAATTTGATGAGAATGAGATCCAGAACGAAACACAGCCAGAGCGGAAGAATCTGCCCTCAAGCCGTTTGTAGCAGTCTTGATGTGATATCCCCCGACTGAAACGTCTAAGCTTTAGATCAGGTTCCGCGCATCAACGCAAGCAGCTGCTGAAGTCGGACCATAGTTCATTCCCTTATTCCCGACTAGCCCCAAGAAAGTCATAAACTTCAAAAAGTCCATGGGCGTCCAGGCCTTGGAGGCACCAGCTGAGACGGGCGAAGGCAGCCGTGAGCTGCTCCCACCAAGTTGGATTTGAGAACCATTGCAAGAATCTATGGTATAGTATGGCATATCATAGTAGTTTATAGCATATTAGCATATTATAGTAGTTTATAGTATATTACCATAGATTCTGGTATGTGATGGTATGTTCTGGGAATTTTACGACTTACTGGGGGTTGGAAGGGAATAAGGGATGATACATTTTTTTCCTTGCTAACCACCTGTAAGGTCAATTACGCTCAAATTATTGCCATTGGCTTTACTTGCTGCTGCTGTCCGACTATAAAATGCAGTTTATGCTTCTGAAGCCATCCTGCACTTTAAGTTGATGTGAAAAATAGTGCAGCCCTCAAAAGAGGATATAGGGGTTATTATAGGGATACGTAGAGTTTAGGCATGAGTCTGGGGATGGAGCTCTGTCAGAGTCCAATTCAGACAACAGTTCATGGGTTCTCCAGCCAAGGCTTCCTGAGCGGAAGAGCCACGGCGGAGGCACAGCGTTGGGCATTCTAATCCATGGTGTTGAGCCAGGTTGCAGCTAGACACGAACAGCAGCTGTGGCATAACTCGCGTCAATAAGATCGGCAAGATTTTGTCACTGGTTTTCAAGGCCACCTTGGCCACATCCGGCCTTGCTGGTCGATCTGCTTTCATGCAAGCCTTCCCTGCATTCGAGCAACGAGCAAGTAGTGAAAGCCAGTCAACATTAACATTGTATAGCATCAGTCTGTCTGGGCCCCAACCTTTCAAATATGACCTGCTGAGTATCAGCGTGCAAGAAAGAAGTGATGCGGCGAGCAAGAATTGCTTTATATGTAGCCGCTGCTATAAATAAGCTGGCCACGGCCAATTTCCGCATCCAAAATGCACCAGAAGCTGCCCTCTGACAGATCCTACGCCAACTGCCGCCATCCCTGAGAGTTTAAGCCCTGCTGCTTGGGCTTGCAACTCAGAAACAGATTTTTTCGTGTATGAATGTATTGGGGACATCTTCTCATGCATGTCTAGCCGCTCCTTTGTCAGGCGCTTTCGGTTACATAAGGCTCTGGGCAGGTCGAAAACAACAAGGCAGGTTGTGGTCCTTTCCTGCTTAGTTTCTGCACGGAGAGATGAAGGTAAACTGATAACGATACCCCTGCTCTCCTCCGTAATCGTGAGGTTGTGGTAGTTTAAGTGCATGTCTGTCAACAACAACACATCAAAGGGCTCTGCGCTCATTAATTTGGTTTTGCATTTGCTCAGTCCCAACCAAGGAGCCCTCCTCGTCGGGCCCTGCATCCCACGAGCCGATGACGGACCCCAACGAGTTTGCCCTTTGCACTACTGGAGGCAGGTTGCGTAAAGGAGAACCGGGGAGCCCATATGGAATACATACGGCCCGCATCTTTTAAATTCCCTGACCATGGCTCCGATTAAGAAGCTCAGGGCCCCTGAGCAGGATGCCAATACTGTTGCACCCATTTTGGTTCGATCTGCTGAGGGCGTATGCATGGGTGCAACTCTGGCTTTGATTCCCTGGAGAGTTGCCGATGAACTTCCACGCGCTTGACCTCATGTTCAATCTAAGCCTCTATTCATCAGTGTTTTTGGAGCAACTGCGTCAGCACGATTTTAAGCGATGTCAACAGCCAGGGGTCACTTGCAGCCTCTGCATAATGAAAAACCCTGATCAACCTGAAAATCCCACTGCCCCTATAGAAGCACCATTCGCTTGACCATCTCTTAACCATGGAGGCGAGGTCAACCGGTATCCAGACTACAGCAGCACGCCATATCTGCCGTTGCTCCGCGCACTGCCCTTTGGCCTGAATTTCATTGAAATCAGCGATGCTGGACTCCCAAAAAGCACCTAGGCTTCGAGGGTTGGGATATGCATGGATATACCTGGCAAATTTTAGGGTGTCCTAAATGTAATGCCTCGGACTTGCAGAACGCGACCTGTCCAAACCATGCCAAGCACCTCCCTTAGTTGAAGGTTTTCGCCCACCAGTACCTCACTACAAATCTACTGCTTGCTCAGTCTTAGGTACCAGCTGAGATCGGTGAGCAGCATCCTTCAAGAATGTACAGCTTTCTGGGGCCGCTTGGTCACGCATGGAATGAGGATTGATGGGCCTAAGAAGTCAAGGATTCAAAAGTGGTGCGAAACGTGCCTGAAACTACAGCCTGACATGTTCCTGTGACGGGGTTTTGCGAAAGTGCTTCGACGCCCTCGATTTTTGTCGTTTTGCAGTCCCAGGCCACATCGAGAGCACAGTGCAGGAGCTCGCTCGAACCAAGGCCCCGCCTTACGGGCATTCGGCCTTCGGCCTTCGAGAGAACGGAGTGAGAGACTGCCCTGGGATATCCTGGGATTATCCGCTTGACTACCTAGAATTCCCAAAAAGGGTGTGTGCATCCTGCGTTGCTACCGAAGCAGATGTGTCTGGGCCCCTCATGAAGTCTGAACTGAAAAACGGATGCTTCTTAACTAGGCACGAGGTCGAAACGAAGAATTCACCAATATGATAGAAGTGAATTGCAATAGCCATAGTGGCCCGGATACTTCTAAGCAGCACGTCAGAACCATACTACTTTTCTGAGAGGAATGAGAAGAGGCATGAGATCCGCCGCAATTCTACGGACATGAAATGCCAGGACCACACCCAGGCGTTACTGCGGCACGCCGCCAAGAGTGCCGGCCTGAAGGAGCTCTGTTACTGTTAACAAGTATGGGACACATAAGGGTTAAGTGAATGACTATGAAACCCATACGCCAACATCGAAGGTAAGAGGTGTCATCCTGTGGCTTGTCGCAATCCATGCAGTTTGGACGTCCACAAGCGAAATGAATTTCTTAGTCCCTGGGGCCCTGCTTCTGAATCTCAGTTTTGTGATTTCGTTGGCTCTTGGAAAGGGATGCTTGCAGGGATCCTCGTGGCTGCAGGGGACTCGAAAGCCGAATCTGCCATAGTCCCTGAGCAGGAGCGCTTCGATCAGCGTCTTGCAGAGTACGGCACCTGGGACCAGCAATTCATGCCACCCATTCGACTTATATCAACTCATTCGGGGTCTGAACGCTTGGGCAGACCGACTTATATAAACTCGTTCGGGATATGAACGCTTGAGCGGACTGCGGTGTTCCGTTCCGGAGATCCCTTGCATGGTCAAGTTTCATGGCTGCTTTGTTCCAGGAGCCTTCTGGGCTACACTGCTGGGGCTCTGCGAGCAGTACTGCCAGGAGGCAACGTTTGTGGGTTGAAATAAGCAGGACATACATGTCGCAGTACAATCCAGATACGGCAGTGGGGATTTCAATAAATTTCCCAGAGTTCGTAGGTCCAGCCAGCTCTTAACAAGATGATGGTCGACGTGCGGAACGCTGAGGCCTTGGGCTTGCCGAATGGAACTGCCAGCATGCTCAGCAAGGTAGCAGATGCAAAGTGCACTCTGGCTACTCGTAGCAAGGGCAGCGCAGGTTTGCAGACAGTATCGTCCATGACCTCACCCAATCAATCAAGGCTTAACACAGGGTACAGAAAGCATCATGGGAAGGCTTCCATTTCAGCTTAGAATCCCCGCGTTTGGGTTGCTCAACCTCCGGATGTTTCATCGTCCTACGTGAGATCTCGCGCAGTCAACACTCCGAGTGCCTTAGATTTCCTTGGGCCTCCACCCTGTGACCGACCTTCTCATTTCAAGGGTCTCGTTTGGATTCGTAGCACGGTCCGTCACGTCGCAAGGCAGCAGCTGATGCCTTGGAGCTCAAGGCGGCTGCTGGTGGCAGTCGGGCTGCAAATTTTGCCCCCAGAAGAGGTTTGGGTGTCTGCTTGTGACATTTACAGGAGTCAGACGGCTTTCGATGCAATATATCTTCAAGTCTTCAGGCCTGCAGGGCAGGATCGGAAAGACCTTCTGGTCCATGGCATGCGTCTTCCTAGAATGTTCCCACAGGTTGAGGCCGGGGTTGTCTCGTGATGGCAGCATTACAGCTGTGGGGCTGGATTCTTGGATTGAAGGAACGTTCTCACTCTTCCTGTTGAATTGCACATTAAGTGTTTACATCAAGTAGTGGAAGGGGCCAGGATGCTTTGCACTTCTCATAAGCTGTCAATGCCATGTCTCAAGCTTTGTGCAGAGAGATTCGAGATGTTCTCAACACTTACTCAGAAAGACCAACTGCTGGTCATGGCAATGGCATCACTCGAAAGCCTGTTGCATCAGGGAGGTGTCATTCAGCCAGAGCAGGGGCTGTATCTAAACCCACCGCACTGCAGCCTTGCTTGGTCGTTGGCTAAATGAGAGATTGAGCCAGCCAATTGTCTTCATTGTAATCTGGGATGGCTTCAGGTCTCGGTCCCCGGATGGAGGAAGCGAGATAAGGCCGGGAAAGTTGTGTGATGCATGTGGGCCTGCGTATCCCCACCTTCATTGGACACGCAAGCCCCGGCCGAATGCCTTTGTTTGTGTGCATCGCTGCTGCCCACGCGCACGCATGCGGCACCATCTCCAGAGTAGAGGGCTTTTGAATCCCATACATGGTCAGGCATTCGCTGCGCGACTCTAGGGACGTAAGCTGTTATGTCAGTGAACTGTATTGCAGCTTCCCATTAAACCTGAGCCCTTCCAGACCTTTTCTTCCCTTAACGTTGCAGAAACCCTTGATCTTTGGAGGGAGGTACTGTAGATAAGATGAGACCAAAGAGTGGGCAGGTCTTAACTTTGGCGGGCCGCTGCACCAAATCAACCGTGCCAGTCCTCCCAAGACTGACATGATCTGAGGCACAGTCAGGTGTCCATTGCTCCCAGAAGTACGGGTTAAAGTAGCCTTCTATTTGTGAACTCATCGACTCCAGACGGGAAGCGTTGAGAGCTTTGCACTCAGATCTAGGCCCTGCTGCAAGTGGGAGATCTTGGATACCTCTCTCCTCCCAGCGGAAAGGGCGCTCAAAGAGCTGCCGAGACGCCATGGCACTGTGGCAAGCATGGTGATTTGTCATGATGGTACCTACCAGAACTAGCGCATGGGCCTCTTGCAATTGAATATTTGCTTGAGCAACACAGGAATGAGCCAGGCCGCATGCTGTCGCGAGTGCTTCTGCTAGTGACCCATCAGTCCGGCTGTTCAGGCCAGTCCTGCGAGACGATAGACTGATTTTATGTGCTTCCCGAGAGCATGTACAGCGCCGCAGGTTTCAGCTAAAACCCAGGGTAGACCTTTGTCAGTTCATTCTTCACAGCAGCCGTACTTGTGGCTGGCAACCTGCAAGCATCGTATGCTCTCCACCGGGAAGCAAGCACCATTCCTGTGAGGAAAAGGAATGAGCGTCTCCAGATTCGGATGCTTGATCTCACGCTTTGTTTTGCCTTGGATGGTTCCTGCTGCTCACTGCTTTGCTTTGCTCTGGCAGAAAGTTGTCGGTCTGCAAGCTTATTGTCAGTTGAAAGCATGAAGCACTGGGGCTGCCGTAAATCTCCGCTTTGGTAGTTTGCTTGCTGAACTCGCCGGTACTTGGAAGTCTTGCAGCTTTGCAGCTAGGTATTCATGAGCTCCGCGTCCTTTAGCAGTGGAGCCTTGCCGTGTTGAAAGGCAGCGGAACCAGCTGGCAGCCCACGGCAAATGCTGCAGGTGAGGATGCGCAAGCTTTTACTGGCGTTTGCGCATCTTGTGGTGCCTCCACAGCTGACAGCTGCTGCGAAACATCCGTCGGTTGATATTAGCCTATATGACCGTCATGGTGCGAACTTTGAGGTCGGATGCCAACCAAAAAGCGTGTCGCCTGCCTTTCATGTGAACCTCCTGCTTGCAAACAGTGCGAATGATCGACTTGGGACCCGCTACAAATTGTTCGCACATGCATTCAAATCGCAGCACAATCCAACTTGGAGACACCGAGGGATTGATGTCCTTTTGCATCACCACCAGCGTCACCAACTGCGCCATTGCTGCTGAAACTGACGAAATAATGACCGTAGCTCTGACAATGGCAGGTATGTACTTTTCGCATCGGTGTTGTCATGGACTGAAAGTTGCATCCGACCTGCAGGTGCTGGCGGTTCATGCGGAGGCGCTGAAGCGTCGACTCGAGACGCAGCAGGCTTTGGGCCGCAGGTGTTTGCCATATAATGTAAAGATTATCATGAGACAAGGTTGGCTCAAGTTGCATGGGCTAGTTCGCGGATGTGTACAGTACATCTGTTTGGCTGCCACCAGTGCAGTGCTGCACTTGAAGCATCCAGCTAACTTCGTCTCAGAGCATGTATTGGCCACAAACATCAGCCTGAAGCACAGGTAGGCGTGAGCTTCAAATGTCGGATTTGTTTCAGCGTGGATATGCAATATGCAGGGCATTCGAATCATAAAGATGCCAGAAGTCAGCAGGGCTGTTTTGCATCCAAGTTGCCATGAGTGAGTCCACAATGCCACTCCGAGATGGCCAGGCTGAGCGCGACAATCTTCGCTTTCAGGCAAGCTGGGTGCATAGCAGGTTGCAGAAGTTCTTGAGTGAGCTCTGTAGGATACTTGTACTACAGAAAAGTTCAACTTTTGCTTGGGACACGACTTTTGAGCTGAGCAGTCTACCAAGGGAAACCCTGCAGCATCCTGTACCATACCAGTAACAAGCCTCTGGGAGCTTGCTGGGCCCGCTAGATACCAGCGCGTGTTGAAATTGGTGACTAAAATCTCCTCACAACTGTCTTAGCTGGGGTGCACAGACCTACGCAGCTGGACTGGGGGCGCAATCTCTGAACTCATGACAGGGAAGCTTCCTTCCTGAAACCCATGCCTTCCAATTGACATGCCTAGACGGCCTCGTCACCATGAGACCTTGATGCGCACCTTCTCCACAAGCCACTTGGCCTTTCCTACCTCTCAATGCCAGCTTCGGCTGATGGAGCGCGACGAATCGGAGCGACAACCTTCCTGGTTGGAGCAGCAGGTTGCTTACCTGGAGGCACAGGGCTCAGGACGCTTGACTATGACTGTAGGCTCTGAGGAGTTTGCGCTCAGTCAGAGCGAGCTTTGTGGCCGAAGGCACTTTCGAGCAATTGTGATGTTGAAGGCTTTCATTCGGTGGCGGTCCAGAGCTTCTTGCATGCGTTATGGTTTCAGTTTGAGATGTGTTTTGACTGGAGTTGTTTTGGTGCCCGGTGTTCTTGGCTTTTCCGCTTAGAGCTGCAGACTACCAGTTGAAATAAAGACGCTGCTCACGTCTTCGCACCTTGCTTCAATGCCATGTCTCCACAAGAACACAGTCAGATCTCATAAGCAGCAGGCTCCGCGGGATTTAGGCAAGGAGGGTTGCCAGCGAATGCAGCAAGATCCTTCCAAATGGAATCCGAAAGATGCAATGCATGTGAAAGACTTGAGCAACACGATACGCTAGGTAGAAGTCCAGTTTGGCAAACGGCATGAAAGACAGCATTGCCGCTGTACCGATGGCATGCGAACCATACTTGTCAGGTGCTGTGTGTGTGTTGGGTGTAGATAATGTCTTTTCTGGAGCTCCGTGATGCGGCTTGAGGGCTTCTTATCTCAGCTGGGGTGATCAAAGGTTGCAGAGGGAACGCTACTAAGCATTTCCTTTTCTCAAATACACTCCCAGACGGAAGCCAAGCCCCGGGAACCTAGATGAATAGTACTGCAAATTACTGTCCCTTGTAAGGGCTCCGAAAATTCCAGGGCCGGACCCCGGGGTCCAACCACAAATTTCCTTGATACAGCGTCAATCAATACCATCCGAAGCGCCGCTCTGCCTTTCCACATCATCCCCGCCATCATCCCAACCCCGCAAACCGCTGTGTCTCCAGCAAGACTCCAGTGACCTCCAAAGCAAAGACCAAACGAGTCCTACTCACATTCTGCGCCCGTTCGTACAAAATGGAGATGAAGCTAATAGCCCCTGCCATGGTTAGCAAATGTTTGCAATACGTCCAGGCAGAGAATCGAAATAGCGCAGCAGTGCGTGATGAGTCAGCCCGCCTTCCGGCTGCAAGTTCTACGTCTGGTGAAAGGTTGTGGAAGTGTCTTGCAATTGGTCGGACCCTCAAACAATTCAATTCAGGACGCCCGAAATTGTTTGGGGGGACCCCCCATACCAAAGAGGGTGCAACATTATCCTCCACAACAGGATACTCTGCAGCGTTCGTTCGTAGCGGCGCTTTTGGGCAGTGAAATTGGGGCAATTCTGATCTTTGCTGTCTTTGCTCGCTCATGGTTTTTAGGCTTGGATGTGTACCCACAATCGCTCTGTCTTTCGGCATCATAGCAGCGAAATAGTCACGTCTCCTTGCAAAGCCTCTTGGAGTGATGGTCTCGAGTCATGAAGCCTCGAGCTTCCTCGAGGCCTCTCGCGGCGGCTGAAGGCTGTTGAGGCCGCGTTGGCCGGGGCCATAGCGCAGGCAAGAACGGTTGATCATAAGAAAAGCTTCGGCTACTCTGAATTTGGGAAAATGGTGGGGTCATCTTTTTGCCGTCCTTGGCCCCCGTCATCTTCGGGTCCCAGGAGAGCAAGCCTTAACAGAAATACCAATATTGCGGCATTTTTTGGGTTCGTCGGGCTCATGCGATAGCAAATATCTTTGCCGAATCCTTGCGTTGAGGCCAGCGTTTGGAGGATTGACTGATTCTTGGGTGAGGTGTGGCGGCGCTGACAGCTGCATATTCTTGCTGAGGCCGAGCTTGACACAGAACCAGCCAAGGCACTCGGATTTCATGCATGAACAGCTTTGCAACTGCAAGCAAGCCTACAGTTCTTGTTGTTTGCTCCGCGCACTTCAGCCATCGAACTCATTGCTTTACTGGTCCAAGTGGCATTTCGCAGTTGAGTCTCTGATTAGTGGATGATCTACAAGCACACTGGATGTTTGCAGCAATCGATGGTCAGGTAAAGGCTGCGGCAGGGGAAGTGCAGGCTCTGGAGGATTTGAGGGCCGGGAGGGTCCGTATGGTAGAGATACCCGTATCCAAAGAGAGCAAGCTTCTTTTCTCCTTTGGCCACAAATGTATGATGAGAAGGAGTTTATCTAATGTGCTTTCATAGACATAATGGACTCGTCAATTATCCTCTTAGGTAGACGGCCATGCCTGAGATGCTCCAGGGCCTGAGAAGCCGCAAGAAGTGCCGTCCTGGAGCATTTAGGATTCCAGAGCCTCAGGAGGATGAGGACGACCTGGCCCTGGCTCGCTGGGAGTGCCGCAATGTGGAGCGCCGGCTCGAGCAGGCTAGGATCATTGACATCAGATCTTTCTTCAGTTGCGAGTGATGACTCCCCAAGACCCTTCCTGAGCTAGCTGCCATCATTCGATAGCCGGGGTTTCCAAAGAGGGTGCTGCCCATGTTGTGGGGAGCTGCGGCATCCCTCAGCTTGGGTTTACCGGTTTTGCCTTGTAGAGGACGTGATGGCAGACTGGTGCGGTCATAACGCCTTCTGGAGTGTCTTGTATGTACTTCCAGCTTACTGTTGCAGGATTGTGCGTTTCCTAGCTGCTGGGGATCATGTGATGGTTTCAGGGCTGCAAGCGCCGCGTTTTGGATTAGTTTCTTGTTTTGCCAAGCCAAGCAGCAGTCCTGCTACACAACTGACATAGTCCGCCTTGGCGTCCTCTTTGTATAAGATGATTTAAGCAGAACACAATCATTTTCTGTGTCATTCCAGGCCCGGGGCTACAACCGAGCACTGATGGAGGACAGCAGGGACCACCATCATGTTTGATTGGTTCTGGCCCTTGAGCCATCAAAGTGTTTCGTGTTACGATAGGATCTCTGCCGCAAGCGGAACCGTGAAGAACCGCAGGAAGCCCAGACTTGCAGCGAGTGCAGCCCAAACCCATTTCTGATCCCTTCATTCCACACGGCGGTCAAGGGCGCTTTCAACTTAATGCGCTTGAACGTCCTGGTGACAGGTCAGAGGAGGCCTCTGCGGAGGAGGCTGGCTGGCTGCGCTCTGCCTCAGCCGTGGCCTGCAAATCCTCACTACATGCAAAACATCAGGCAGGTTTGTAGCCCGAAAAGCAACCCACATGCAGCCCACGCAGGACCCCGAAATGGCAGAGATGGTTTCTTCAAACACGGAGATGTTGAGGAGGCCATGCCCCGCTAAAGCTGCCTTGAGCCAAACTTACAGGAAATGAAGGAATGAATACTTCTCTCCTGCATCTTCCACGCTGGCTCTTGATTCACCGGAAGCTCACACTTGGTCTGGGGTTGAGATAGATTTCAGGAACTCCTGGTAACATGATTTGCTAAGCAAGTGTGAAAGGAATGCACTTGGAGCTTCGCCTTCTTGGCGTCCTTCAGTTTCTTGCATGTGAGAGGACTATAGGTGTTTACATGCCCTGTGGCTGCTTCCAAGATCGATGTTACATGCCTGGGATTGAACCCTGAAGCTGGAAGTCTTCAAACTGGAAGCCTTCGTGGCGTTCTCCCAGGTGCAAACTAAAAGCATGTTCTCCCGGCCAACTCCATGCCAATGGTTGCAAGTGGCAAAGACTCCGCGCTTTTGCTGCTGCCTGGAAACTCCGAATCCTGATGCAAAAGACCAAAAATCTCAATACCTCCGACACTGAAGCGGTTTAGCGTTTGTATGGAGGAGACCTACAGGCGAAGGCTAGAGAGCCTCCTGAAGTTTTGTCTTCGGCTCCTTGAGGCTTCGGGAGGAGGTGGCCACTGCAAGCCGAACTTCGGCACCGCAGCCACCACAGGAGCCGCGACCCGGCGGGCGAGGCTTGACCTGTGGATGTGGGGTTGGTGTAGAAGCCAAGTTAACAGGTGTTAGCAGCTCTACTCAACCTCACCTAAAGTAAGAATCTACTGTTATCAGATACACTTCTTGGGTAAGGTGCATCAAACGGCATCTGCTTAATGGTCGAATGCTTCAAAGTCATGAACGCCAGACAACGCTCACAAGATCACTTGTAGATTTGACTTCTAGGTAAAGCGCGGGCACAGGTGCCGCTTAGATGGATATGCGTCAACCCTGAGACCTGCATTGTGAAGCACAGTCCCGCAGTCTAAGATGCTCTAAGTGCTCTAGATCATGCTGCGATCATGCAAGCCCACCTGGTTAAATGTTCTGCCACACTTGGCTTCAGGATGCTTCAGGTGCAAACCCAATGAGAGGTCTATTGGAAGCATGGATTGGTTTGCATGCCACAGCTTTCCCAGGAATACAAGGTGAATGTCTCAGAAAGGAACCTACGCAATATGTTTTCAATCCAAACGAGCAAGTCCAGGGCATTTGGAGGTTTTGCATCCTGTCTTCCCAGAAGACTTCAGTCAGTCCTGGGATGACTCGAAGCTGACACCTGCAGCTCTTGTTAGAGGTCGTGCAACGCGTGGGGCGCCCGCAGTGGACGTGCTTACTATCGGAGCGGGTCCAGGAGGTTCGTGCTCTTTTTACCAGTGCTACGTGCGTAAGATTGATTGGAATGCGGGCTGGTACACTTGGGTCGATTTTGCAACGATGCCCTGGCAGGTGAAGATCTTGAGTGGCACAAAGATGCGTAGGCCAGCAAAAAGCATGGAGTGGCCCGGGTGATATCACAACTGCTTCAGGCAAGCTTAGCAGGAGTAGATGCCTCGTCAGGCTTGTTCCAGGCATGCTAGGCAAAGTGAGGCCCTTTCGGAATTGAGTGTTGTAACACTTGCAGCTTCACTTATAAATAATTTTCAAATCCAAAGAGCGGTGCAGATTTGTCAGCTGCACGATCCAGCGGAAAGCTCTATATGGAATAACAAGCTTCTGGCAGTTGGCACCGATTCCTGTGGGCCGACTGACAACATCCGATATCAGTATATCTACATAAGGAACATTTTGCCCTGCCAGCTTGTTGGGGTTCACCTTTTGATTGAATGTGCACGCTTTTCAGTAACGCCTAAACTGCCTAAGACCTAGACCGTGATGGGCAAGTTAGAGCTTGCGTAGAATGTTGACTTCTGAGATCTTCCTCCACCCTCCGTTGGAAATTTGAAGCGCCGTGTAGTTGGCTTTTAATGCTTCATCAGCAGCTTCGTATGGCCTTGAGTTTTGTGGCGCTCGAGTGTCGTGGACGTATTGCGTAATCCCCTATAAGACCTTTGTGGGACATTCGCTGCCATTTGTGTACGGTATGGAAAAGTGCTTCAATAGGACCATGCAGCCTTTGGCTGGAGATCCTGTTCATCGCCCCTCCTTGGCTCACAACCAGGAAAGATCTCTAGGCCTAAGAAGGCCATTGAATGACTTGTTCATTAGAAAAGCTGGGTCGAAGCTGGCTAGATTTGAGATTCTTGGATTTCAACACTTCAGGATCCCAACGTACACAAGAGCTAGGAGCGAGTCAGAAGGTTGTTTTGCCATGTTGTGCCAAGTTGCGGCTTGCGTGACAGACCGCAGCCAAAGTCCCTACCTACGGTCCTCGGTGCTATTGAACAAGACCTGAGGCTGAGATACCCATCCGGGCTTGTTCGCCCACTAGGGCCCGCTGTTTTCAACACTACCCGAGAAGTATTGTCTTCGCGCTTGAGTGTTAGACTTCATGGGGTGGAGCAAGCGCCAGTATTTCCGTTTGTTCAAACGGCCTGTGATGTTGGCACAGAGCTCCTTTCAGCCCGCTTGCTGGAATTTGCTTGGAAAGGCATGGGCACCGAAGCACATTGCCGCACACTCCCATCACGTAATGTACTTGTTCAAAGCGATTTCCTGAACTGTGGCAGGCCAGCCCTGCACAACTACACTAGCACCATGGGCACTCCAGGCCTTGCGTCGACATCTTACGTGCATAGCTCGTGCCAAGCCAAAATGAAGTGTTGAGAGCTTGGCACCCCAGGCCAATTATTGCCAATGCAGACAGACACTTACTGTCACCTAGCATCCTGAGACGAATTTCTCACAACTGAATTCCATTCCAAGATGTAACACGAATTGCTCCAAAGCACATGTGGGCCCTTGAGAAGGCCAAGCAGGAGGAGTCCTGAGACCCTGTGCACAGACGCACGCAGCTGGCGATAGTGAGTGTAGGACTTGCAGGCTTTCTGTTTCCGGGTGTCCTCGCACGTGACACCTCGCTTCTTATTAGCTGTCACTGGCAGAGGAGGTGCAAGGTCGTATGCTGCGCGCTCCGTCGCATGCTGCGAAGTGCAGCTGATGCAGCTGGTGCAGCGGCCGCGGGCCAAATTCAAAGCGCAAAGCTTTGGGTTTGGGTACAATTTGGTCACTCCAACTACCAGCCCTGCCCCGATGGCGGCGTGCGCTCCGCACCACAGCCCAGAATGCTGAAAGCAAGGAATGCTGTGGATATGAGCCAGGATCACGGGTAACACCCGTGCTCTAGACATTCGAAGTGCCGTGATTGCAGTGCGCCTGCCGTCTCATCTGATGTGGTCAACTTGAAATGCAGTGAGATGTAAGTATACGAACTTCATTGCAGCATTCTAGCTTTAGGCTTTTCCAATGCTCTTTCTCAAGTCTATCGTACCATGCCACACCTTGCTCCCAGATTCCCAGCTACAGCGAGCTGCAGTCAGTTTATTTCATTTTCTTGCGACAGAGCAAGCTGCCGCAAGACCTCTCCAAGGAGCATCTCCAACCGAGCGCGGCAGTCGTGCTCGCGAGCACATCTACAACTTCTGCAACTCTTCCGCAGCTTCTTGGGACGTTTGCCCTATTACGAGTTGCATCAGCAAGCCGGAATGCCCCAATGGGTTTCCAGGCTTATGTGAGGGCAGATAAAGTAACTCTCATGAAGCTGCGGGAAGAGTTGACTGGCAGTGGTGAGGACACAACAACATGGACAGCAACAGAAAGCTGTGTGTTTCGCTGTGGTGCCAGGCGGCCAGAGCCGATTCATTATGACAACACAACACGAAGAGAAGTGGGCCGAGGGGATCAGGCCGTTCGAGCACATGCTCCAGGCTGGGCAAGTAAAGCTGCGACCAATTGCAGTGGGTAGCATATGCCTGAAAGGTTGCACGTAAGACGTCCTCATACGATAATGGCAATACTAAGAATTACTTGCTGATCAGCCCCGCAGCCTGCCCCTACACATCATGAAAAGATACATCCATTAGCGCTGGCCGGGAAACTTGTTGACGACTCGATCATTGAGACACTCCCTATCAGGGGCCATGGCTACCAACTGCTTGCCTTACCTCCAAGCAACAACTGCAGACTGTCCTCCGAGTTTACAACTCGCATTTGCACAGTCCAGAGTACCAAAAGTCTTTATGGCAGGTTACTGTGTAAGTCATTTGGCATTTGAATTCGGCTTTGGGAGTGACTTAATTATAGGTGCTTTAACTCAAGCCGACACCGGATGCGTAAACGCCTTGTAGCTGCCTTCACCCAAAACGGGATGTCCAAATTTGTTTAGAGACTGCCTCTCGACCGTTCGTACCTGCATCTACTTGCCTGCAACAGTCCCCCTCTTATGCTTTATGACGCGCGGTCTTGTGTTCAGGGTTAGAGGCGTGTTCGTGGCGTTTCGTCTCTTGGGTTCCAAACGCCCTGAAGCCAGAAACGCTGGCCAGAAAGGAATCAATGCATGGACTGCTGTCGATGGTCCAAAGAGCGATTTGCAAGACAGGCAGAACTTCAGCCTCCATGGTGGGCCATCAAGATACTGCAGCTTTAGGCTTTGATTGCCCGCAGACCGGACAATTTGCAGTGTCGGTGGGAAAGTGAGGTGTTGCTGTACACTGCCCCCTCTGCAAAAGAAATGCTGTGCATGACTCTCATTACAGGCAGGGAGGCAGTAGCAACGCATGGCAGGCCAAAAAAGGGCACCCGTAGAACTGCTAAAAAGCTCTGCTAAACTTGTTCTCGCAAGCTTTGTGCAATTGCGAAAATCATTGGGGTCGAGTTTTCCATTCCGGTACCCAGCTTGAAAACTATGAATTGTGTTTTTGTTATCGTTGATCTTATTTTACATTCTTGGATACGACGTTGGCTGCGCAGCGAGTAAGTTTAAGAATGAAGCAGCAGCTGCACTCTTGTAGGAATGAAGCTTTAGGCTGCAAAGGCCTTACTAGCCATGTTGATGACACCCGCACTGCAATCCGACACGGGATGCACAGATAGCTCACATCAATCCAATTCGACACGGGATGCTTTCACATCAGGCACTGGGGCCGCACGTGGCATAAGGGGCCCTTAAAGTTGCAGGTTGCTCTGCAGGTGAGGTCGCAGCCGCCTCATGGACCTAGCCCTGATCAGAAGTTGTTCAATGCTCTGACGTTGAGGGCTTTGTTTGAAGTTGTCAAGTCGCTTGTTAAGCCTGCGACATCCTGAGTAACTTGCCGGAAGCTCAAGGTGACAGGCGTGCTGCCAGGATTGCCTGAGGACGCCCTCATCTTCTTGGAGGCCTCACCTTCTTGCAGTGGAATCCATCTACGCGAGCAGCCTGGTTGACAGCTGGCCACCCTCTGTGTGTCGTCCCACCCTGCCTGAGCCTCCGAACAAGTTGCAGCAATTCCCGACCTTTATGGCAGGTCATTTTTGCGGCGTTGTACTAGTGGATGTGCCGTTTACAGGATCATGGAGCAATAATGTCTGTCCTGACGCTTCTCCGGCTAAGCTGTGCACAAGAGGATCCTTTGAGTATTCAACCTGTTTTGGCCACGTTCATAATTAGTCCCAAGTTGCCTTGGAGACAGCTTCACCTCTGGAAGCCTCGCGTGGGCTCCCCGAGGCAACTTAGGGTCCTGAAGCCTGCATCCAAGCTGCATTGGATGCTCTAAGATGGACG